CGGGGAGCACAGCGGATCTAGGAGAGCCTGGCCTCTGGAGACCACAGCGGATCCGGCTTTGAACCCTGTGCCTATCGCTTACTGCACGCGTGGCTTGGGGCGAGTTGCCTTGAGTCACAGTTCCTTGTTGATAAAATGGAGATGGTGCCTCCCCTCACACATAGCACATAATGTCCAATGCCATAATGACGATTTCCTGCCTTAGGATATTTCTTTCCCTCTTCATTTCCCCTGCGTCTCCTGGCTGCTCCCCACCCACCACCACACTCTTTCAGCAATTTCTTCATTTCTCTTTCCTCTGTCCACTGGGACCCACAGGACACCCCGCCCCTCTGCCTTGATCCCCGACCTTGGCCTCTCTCCCCAGGGCTTGTCAGTGCCAAGCTGGCTCGTGTATTGGCAGGTTGGCCCGTCGGGAGCCCATCTCCTCTGATCCCTCCACCGGTTCTGTCTGCTCTCATCACATCAGTGAGGGTTTCAGCCCATCACACCCATCCATCCCGTCTTCCTCCACGGCTGCTGCCTCTCCTGTCTGCTCTGGCTCAGAGGGGCTCAGCCTTGTTCGAAATGGCTGCACGGAAGCCACTCCAGGAGAGCTAGAAAGATGCCATCAATGCTTCTGCTTCGTTATGCCCCAAAGTCAACGCCTCCTAAGAAAACCTCTCCTCTTGTACGTCAATGCTATTCCGTCTCGGCCTCATCCTTTTACCTCCTGCTCATCATTCCCCAGCCTCTGGTTTGCCAGGGAAATCAAAATTCCCGGAGAAGGAAACTAAATGTGGGGGTAAGGGTAGGAAAGATGGTCACAAGCAAAACTTACACATCCCCAGTACGAGCCATGAAGTAGCGAGGACATAAGACAACAGCACAGGGCCACCGTGGGCTTGGAGACCCTTTTGTCTGTCTTCCCCTGGGCGGCCAGAGCCACACAACAGGAATCAACTAGGGCTTTGGACAAACTATTGATTCCGATCAAGGGCACTGTGGGGTTGCTGTATGTGTTGCAGGGGGGCAGGAATCCAGACTGATGGGAACAAGGACACATGGAACAAGCCTGGGGCTGAAGCACAGCACACTCCTCCCACCACGGCACTTGCACCCAAGCCCCCTGCCCACCCGGCGAGGCTATAACTTGGGCTCGTTTCTGCCACAGTGGTGAGGAGCATCAGCCTGCCACGGAACAGTCAACAGACCTGATCCTCTTCAGAGGAGAAAATCCCCAAGAAAGGAGCACGGCTGGATCCCCATGAGGGCAGACCCTTAGAGAAGCCAGGCCAGGAGTTCTCAGTGTAAAATCCCCAGAAGAGAAGAGCCCTAAGGATGGCGGGCTGCCTCCCGGCAGAGTGGGGTCCTTCCCTTGAGTCCATCCTGCCGGGCTGGAGAGACCAGACATCTATCTGCTCTGGAGCCCAGGCTGGAGGCTACTGGAGACAGGTCACTCTTCTCTTCTGGACATCCAAGGGTGACTTTAAGGATGCCTGGAAGGCATGGGGAGAAGGTGAGAAGGGACAAGGTGATGGGAGGAAGCAGCCGAACTTTCTCAAAGTTCCTCAGGGCTACTTCTCCGTAATACTTAGGAACAGGAGGAGTCCGGGAGGGCGTCAGCTCAAAGGCTCTCAGCGGTCTGCTGGGGGTGATCTGGAAGGTCGGGAGTTCTGTTGGAGAGGTGAAGCAGGGTGTGCAAGCCGCCTACCCCCTCCCCCGGAAAGCCTCAGAGCAGTGGGAAGGAGGTTGAGGACAGCAGGTGGCCGGGCCGGCTCTCAGCGCTGTGGTCGTGACATCAGGGGGAGAAGCTCTGTGTGGGAGCCCTGGGAAAGGATAGGTGACCGGACGTGGAGCCCTGCCAGACATGCTTCCTGGTTTAGGCGAACGTGATCCAGCAAAGGCCAGGCACCGACAGGGAGGGGTGACGCAGGGACAGCACAAGGCACCAGAGTAAGAGCCAGCTGTCTTGGGAGGGGAAGAGCAGGGGGCAGTGTCCTTCCCCAAGGAGGTGGCTTGCCATCCAGCCATGCTTGGTGGCTGGAGGGGAGGAAGGGAGATGACCCCCGAGGCTCTCCTGCCTGTTTCTGTGTGATATGTTTGATATTCGGTTGTTTAATTAGGAACCAACTAAATATCGAACATATTCTTACAGAGGTGGGCAATTTGGCATCAGCCTCTGGGGCTCTGGGGCTCCTTTACCCAACCTCATCTCTCCAAGACCCTTTGGAAAAGCAGTGGTGGCGACTCCGTGCATTTCAGTCCTAAGCTGGAAGCTAGTGTGGGAGCACGAGAGCCGGAATTTGAAGATCGAATCTCCCTGCATCTTTCCTGTATACCAGAAGGGATGTTTCTCTGACCTTCTGTCCTTGTACTTTTTCCCCTGCTTCTCTCCCTCACCCCACTTGAAGTTCTGGGAGAGCTTTCCAGATACCAACCCTCTCGGTTTACTCTGTATCCTCTGTATCCAACACTCCCCACATCCGTGTTAACTGCTGAGTCCCGTCCCTGGGACCTCCTTGCTCCTCGCTCACGCATCCCGCATGGAGGGTCTTCGGCTTCTCTGCTTTCCTTCAGGATGAACCGATGGTCTCTCTGCCCATACCTCTAGTGACTGGAAGCTCTCACAAGTGGGCTCCAGTTTTGCCCTCTGACCCGGTGGGGGTCTCAGTTACCCCGCTGCTGGGACTTGGTGCTACCAGGAGCTAGTGATCCTTGACATAATGACTAGCTAGAGCCCCTCGCACTCCTCTCCGATGGCCCACCTTGTCACCTTGAGCGGGGCCCACCTCTCCCCTGGCGCCCCAGGATCAGTTGCCACCTGTCAGTAACAGGCTCCGAGCGGAGGAATGACCTGGTCTAGGGAGGCCCGGGAGAACAGAGACGGTGATGAAGACATACGTGCTGCGAGCATGGCAGTGGGTTGGGCGGGGGTCAGGAGGAAGCCGGGAGCAGGCAGAGTAGACAGCGGGCAGAGCTTGGCTGGGGGGGCAGGGAAGTTCTACTTAAAGATCACAGTGGGCAAACAGAGGGCATGATCCAACCCAGATGACGGGGACCCTCCCCTGCTTCTCTCCCTCACCCCACTTGAAGTTCTGGGAGAGCTTTCCAGATACCAACCCTCTCGGTTTACTCCAACCCTGTGGCTCTAGCGGAGGAGGAATGAGGTCTCCCTGCCAATTAGAGACTCTGGAAATAACACAGTAACCTGATCTGGGGATCCGGGGGAATTGTAGAGGATCATGAGTGACCTCCCTCTTCACTGGAGCTCAAGCTCCCCGAACACTGGGAATCAAAATGTAGAATTCAGCCAACGGAGTCTGACCGCCACCCAACACAGGCAGGGGGAGGTGTCGGGAAACAGAAGGACACTCTGGGGGAGAACCACTGATCTGGAATTGCCCAAGTACCCTTCTCTATTTCAGTGTTCTTCCCTG